AGCAGCGCAAATTTTATGCGACCTCACGCGCCAGCCAATCAGAGTCGACTTTAGAAATTGTGACATCGTTTCGATCAGAAATGTGGACTAAGCTGTTGATTGGTCAATTTGGCTACCGTGTTTTTGTAATACAACAACAGGTTACGGTGAGACCTGATAGAAGGCGCCCGCTAAATGGTCAGAATCTGGAGGTCAAGACGCAGTCTCATTTTGCATAATTAATCGCCAAATCTGCTCACCTATCATAGACCCATAATTGCTGTGCAAGGGGATATTCCATAGACTGCAGTATATAGGATACAAGGAAGACTTTCTGTTTGGAAAGGGCCAAGTCACAGACTTGAGGCAATTGTCACAGCCACTTGGAGGCAGCCAAATAGACTGCAAACTAAAGAAACTGCCTAGAAGTAGAAATTCCTCAGAAAATTACACGGGGAAAATTTTTCCTGAAATAGTTCTTCTTTGAGATTTCCTGACAAAAGTTGCTGGTACATTGCTTCATGTTACATTGCCCTGAGCATGCCTTGAAAAAAGTGCCAGTTGTGACAGAATTCTTGAATGAACTTAGTTGTAAAAGTACAATTTTGTTTGTTACTCCTTTGGTAGTTACAATTGTACAAGTGGGCCATTTGGCAAGTCTGAAAATACAAAACAAACACGAAGTTGTCATACAGGTAGCAGCTGAACCCAGTTCTGATTTTGTGGCTTTTGGTTGTGTGTAGGTGACTTACCGCATCATCAACCATGCGTGAAATCTCAACCCCATTTCAATCACTGCAGAATGGGTGGCTATTGTGGCACTTCCCAAAAGTTATGCCCATTTGCTTAACCAAAGGATTTAAGGAACAAATAACTTTTGAGTTTGGCACCGGTGTAGAATGGATTTCTATTCCTCCACTTTTAAAGGACATGTTCCATGCAATTTGAGATTAAAAAATATCTTATATGAATTGGTTCGGTAATTACACACAGCTTTTCCTGTTGTCCTCTGCCCTGTCGAAAATGGACATTGTCAATGCACAAAGAATAAAAATACCACTGGATTATTTGTGGGTTTATTGTAGGTTTAGGTCGATAAACTGCAATTTTTTTTCTGGAATGCAGTGATCAACTTGAACCTTTAGGCCAAATCCTTTGTCCTTTTGGCCCTGACCTCAAAAGGCAAAGAGAATTAATTTTCCCCCAAAAGAACGTAGGAAATGTCAATACTAATCAGGGGTTGGAAACTGGAGATATTAAACCTGTATGGTACGGTACACACAATCCTTCATTGACCACGGAAGCGTGGGGGAACTTCTGGAGCATACAGTATTTCGGGCATTGATTTTGAAGAATTGTTCATTTTTTATCTTGCCGGGGAAATAGTGAAGTCATCTCACTTCATTTATCAATGTAGGTAAGTTTTTTTCTAACTGGATTTTATATTGCTCTACAAGACAAACATACTGAGGATTAGGGCCTATTGCTTGTGGGCTTTGGGGGGGGGGACATTGGGGAAGTAGGAGGAAAGAGCTGGTTTGTACAGAACTTTGTAAAAAAAAATTTTAAGCCTTCTTTTTTTAAGGAGAGGGTGGACGTAAGTACTCTTTTTTTCTTTGTTCATTGAAAATATTGGGGATGGGAAATATTCCTGTGTCATTATGTGTATTGTAACTGATCCACTTTTTATTCAGTCTGTTTGAATGGATAAATGCTCAGATAGGACTGTGCATCGGAACCGTGTACTCGAGTACCCGACCGCTAATGTCAGGAACCGGTTCCAGATTATGGGATCGGGTACCAGTAACCAACTTTACAAGTTACTTATTAACTTCTCAGACAATAAAAAACAAAGGTTATGAATGCCATTTTGTGAGGAATTTTTAAAATGAAAACCAGGCTACATGGAAAACCAAAACAGATTTCATGTTTGCATTTTAACACGCGACAGGTCACGCTCACAAATTTTGCAGTTTACACCGTAAAGCTATGAAGCCCTTCAGACAACTTCTAGGATTTGAATTTTGGGGTTGGGCTTATTTTATGGGTACCCAGGTGCCGGTGTTGTACTTCAATAGGGCACCCAGTTTCCATACTACCATAAATGCACACCACAACTCGCAGACACCCTGCATATCATGCTCCATCATAATTGGACCAAAAATTGGGACAAAATATTGTAGCATTAGCAGCAGGGGTAAAAGTGCCCCAGCCGTGACTGTAAACACTGAACAGTTACACCCAGACCCCTACTGGGCATGTGTGACCACAGGACAGGACCCATACTTAAAAACTGCTCTTAAATCTATAATCCCTTCATTGAGTGACAGGTCTATTGCCGACCAATTAGCAGTTATAGCCACTGGCCTCCCTCAGGGCAAACTGGAACTTGAGTCCTCCTTGACAGCAGTGAACTTGAAGTCTACACTGTGTTATACTTAAACAAGCTGGTTTACCCGATCATAGATCGGGTAGGGCGTAGTGTTGGGGATGAAAATGTGGGGAGTTAAATGTAAATGGGGGATATAGTTGGGGAGACATGCAGTTAAAGAATAGCAATTTCTGTGGTGTGATCTGAGGCAATTCCTGATCACTAAAACCAATTTGAGGATCTGTGAAAGTTTTGAGTTTTGAGTAATTGAATCAGCTACATGTATTCTGAGCAATAGAATCATTATTGTAGGCTACAATATTTTTATTCGGAGAAGAAAAAGTGTGGGGGGGGGGGGAGACCAAACAATGTCCCCCCTCAAAATGTGTGTGTGTGTGTGTGTGTGGGGGGGGGGGGGGTTCCCCCTGTCCCCCGTCGATTTACGCACATGATAATTAAAATGTACCATGGCAACTGTCTGTAAATGTTGCCGTTGGTCTGTTAAATTGGCTTTTTGTGAGGCAGTCGCATTTGTAAAACGTAGTGAAAAGGTTACTGTAGTACACAGGCGAAGGCTGGTTGTACAGTTTGACAATAAATCATAATGCAATAAAACGTGAAGGTGTCATTTAAAATTAAAATGTTGAGTGTTACCAAAAATTACAAACGGTCCGAATCATGGAGGAAGGTCATAAATAAGTTTCAGTATTGGACTCTTCAACAAACGTATAAACTTAAACTTCTTACAATTTGCGAGACCGTCTGCGATTCAACTTTTATTCAAGTTGGTCCAACCATCTATATATAAGAGCAAGTTTTACTCGGCCTCCGAGAAATGTTTGCTTCTGAAAGGATCCGAGACCGCGGCTTCACGTCCGTGGAAAAATGTGGGTGTCTTCCGCCGGGTCGGACACTTTTTCGTCGATTTTTTTGTGACTTCGTTTAAGATCGCAATATTTGAAGCAATGCATCGACCCTTCGTTGACCCCAAACTAACAGGCCCCCGAAATTATAACGCGACACTGAATTATACGTGGCGGGCAGCGAACTCACAACGCTCAGCCTTGGAGGTGGAAGCATGGAGCTGTAAACACATTATGGAAGCAACAGCACTCTATCACGCGACGTCACATGCTTGCGCTTCAAATAGCGAGCACCGTAGACCCAACCTCGTTTGCAGGGTGTGGAGCAGGCTGCAGTACGCGTTGCCATCGACAGTTTTGCATAGCCCGGAAATACTTTGCAGTGTAGACTTTCGATTGGTCAGACCGCGCAAGGCATACTAATGTGTAGTCCTTCTGAGTATTCGTTGCACTCGGCGCAGGGGCAGCAAGCAAAGCACAGGAAACAATAGGGACACTTGGTGGCCACGCACCATGGGGAAAAAATATTTTGCCAAGGTCACCCCATACTACCATTTGGTGAACACTTTTGCAGAACGGCTGAGTAGAACACGTAAACGAAACCCCTACGTTGACCTTGCTGACCTCGCACAGTCTAGACTCGCAGAAAAGCCAACACAGGGGGCGGCCAGGCAGTCAACGTGAAAGCGCACACGACGGCAAATTCCTGCGCAAAACGCAGTCACGAAAAATCGATGAAACGGATCGCCGGTCCGTACGGGAAAATTAGGACGACCCGAAGTGTCCGACCCGGCGGAAGACACCCTCCGCATTTTTCCACGGATGTGGAGCGATTTTGGCGCCGCGTGAGCCCGCGGTCTCGGATCCTTTCATGAGCAAACATCGTCTCGGGGGCGAGTAAACTTCTCTCTTATATATATAGATGTGGCAGCGCATTTTCTTTTAGGTTTCTTACAAACTTTGCAATTGTTTCAAAAAGTTTTCATCCCCCAAATTTTGTGTTTTTCTTGTATACATGTACATATAAGAGCAACAAAACTGCACAGTTTAGATAGTAGATAGTCCAGTCTGAAGCAGATGTAACATAATAAACACAGGTAGTTTTGCAAACGTTAACTCATCTTAATTTCTGAAAATTTCATATTTAAATAAATATGTAGCACCAAACATAATAATGACTGGAAAAGCCAATTTAATAAGCTAATTTTAGATGAAAAAAATTACTGAAATTGCTCAATCCGTTCAAAGAATATCACCATTTAAGTGCAATGACCCTAAAACATGTTTCGTCCTAAAAAGCAGTTTATTGGTAAGCGGACAGTCTTCAAGAGCTTGCAAGTGCTGCCTATAAATTGAAGTGTCTACTTTTTGCAGCGTAATATAATGGGGGTTGGGGGTTGGGGGTTGGAGAGCCGTGTCATAATATGAAGCATCATTTCCTGCCTCAGTCTGTAAATTTCCCCAAACTCCCTTGTATAGTATAGTTTTAATGGAACATTCAATGATCGACTTAATACAAAGTAATACTAATGGGTTGGCGAAGTATAAGCATCAAATTCAATACATGGATTGTAAATTTCAAACCAGACAACTACTTTTTTGATCAGGACAGACGTTTGAATTTTTCCTTCACTGCCCTCTATAGCACAAGCTTTAGCTGTCATTTTAGCTTCCTCCAGCCCCCCCCCCCCCCCTCCAATTTCTTTTCCCCTCAGAGAGCTCCCCAGGAAGTGAATGGTTCATGCCATTCCCAGCACTTCCTGCCTGCAACTCGGCACAGGGGAAATTTGGCCCACACTACACATTGTAACGGATAGGGTTGCAGCTAGCTGTCTGTACAGCAGACACACACATAGCACAGTGTTCGGACTAGACTAGAAAAAAAAACATTTGCACGCCCTGCAGAGATTTTGTTAGTGCAGTTATCGCTCTGATTTTCACGTGGAGTACGATTCTTCGTAACACACCCTTGGCAGCTATCCAGCTTCTTCAGTCATTGGGGAGTTTCGTTGAGAGTACTGACCCCAAGGTTGCGAGATACATGTACTTAGCTCAGCCTTTAACTCTGTAAGTCAGGTAAGACTGGTAATTCTTTGGGGGGACAGGTGCCCATTGTTTCAGGCTTCAACGCTGTCTTTACCCTTAGTTTTAATTTTGTCAGTTACGCCCAGTTTAGCTCTGCTAAAGACTGGAAGGGAAGTGTCCTTGCTAATGCTAAGCATAGCAGAACATTCTGCTCTTATGGTTACTGTAGTGTATAGGAATTTTGTTCATGTACCTGCATACATCCTGTCACTAAGGATTCTGTGTTTTTAGGGTTAATATCACAGAATTTCTCCACTACTATTGAATTTTAGCACAAAATGATGATCATAAACTTGTGTAGAATTCCATGTTAACCACCCCGGTATTATTTTTAAATTCATTTTGATTTTGGCAAAAGGCAACATTTTCCAGCCAACTTCTGATGTACAGCTGAACGGCACAAATACTGATTCACTAGAGTCTTCTCAACAGTATTTGTGTGATATTTCTTGCCGAAACCTCATACCGGTATGTTTCAATACACCGAGGCGTGCACTGGAGCGTAAACTGTCGAACAATAGGTTGTGCACAACGGCCAATGCAAGATCAACACACTTTCCGCCTCCACTGACTTCACGGACTGTGTGTGTGTGGATTAGCGTGTTGAGACGTCACCCGGAGGCGAGTCGAGGCAATCTTGACATTACCGCGTCAGTGTATAAAAATAGCCAGTGCGTGTTATCGCATCCTCCGATGCAAACTGGTTAAGAAGGACCATGAAATTGGGCCATGATCAAGCTGCTTTGTTGATGGCCCGTCATTTGATCACTGCCTTTTGCTCTCATTCCAGAAATGTTGCCACTCCCAATAAAATTCTTTCCTTACCACAACATGTACATGCTTTATGGTTCTTCTACAGAATCAGGCTGTGTATCAGGCTGACAGAAGGCGAGGATCTGTCGGTTTCTTTCAATTATCTATGTTTTAGTGTGGATACAAACATTACTCATCCTATGTATGTGTCATCGTTGTCATCTGAATTTCTTAAAACTGATATATTACAGTCATATCTTACAGTAATGTGTACATTCCTTGTATTACCTACAGTACATGGTATTTCAGGTTTCTCAAAGCCATGTTTCACAAATTAACTATTTCCAGTTGTTAAGCAGTTTAAAGTAGTGTGTTTTAGGCCAAGTTTAAAAAAAAATGGTTTCTCTTCCTGAATGTTTGAAAAAAGGAAGGAGGAGGCCTCCACCCCCAAGAAGGTGGATTTTCCAAGATGGCGGATTAATTCTACTATTTTCTCGACTCTGTTGATACTTTTTTTGTGTCCAAAGGAGCCTTCATCTTACTAGATTTGAACTTGCATACATTTTGCTGGAAACAATTTTGCTGGAAACAAATGAAGACAAAATAATATTGCAAACGTGTGATTTATAACAAAACACAAAAAAAAAACCAAGAAAAATGGAGGTGGGCTTAAATGTGAAACTCGTTTATTTTGTACTTGTCTAAGTTTCTTTTTTTTTTCTTTCTGCTAATAAATAGACCTATTTACAGAGCACCCAGCAAAGCTCTTTTGGTCTTTCTTTAATATCAGGATGACTCACAATCTGGCAATTTTTTTTTTAGCTACATAAGTGTATGTGACATCAATAAGTTGTAGATTTGGGTCAAGACAAGTAGGTTCACAGATGTCTGGGAAAAGGGGAGCTGGATTTCTGTGTGGGCAGATGTGAAATGCATGAAATTCACTAAAAAAAATGCGCACTTACATATATGTACTGTAGACTCAGGGTAGTCATGTAGTTAAGTATATCATTTTGCAGGGTTTTAAAACAAGGGTAGAGCAACTTATGAAGCGATGAGAATAGTTTGAACATTTTTAGGGGTCAAAAGTGACATCCTTACCTTTTGTGAAGGTTTTGGAAGCAGAAATCATTTTTAGAAAGCTTTGAAGTTCACTCACCTGTAAGCAAGTGTTGTATGTTTTAAAATATATTTAAGTTTTACTATTTGTAAGCTTTTTTGTTGGAGTTGTTTGAACAAGTACTACATGTATGTTTACATCACTCAGTCCCATGGTTCTTTCTAGAACAATTGCTGACTTTCCTATCATTATTAATTAAAAATTGTGGAAATTCAAGGGCGTCAATCGCTTCTCAAAAGTGGGGGGGGGGGGGGGCATACCTTGACTAGAAGTATGAGCATTGAAGCTTTTGGATTCTAGATGCTCTGTGGTGCGATCTGAGGCAATTTCTTACTACTTCAACCAAGTTTGTTTTAGCAAAAGATCATCATTTAAACATCATTTTCTAGAGTAAAGTCATTGAATCAGCTATTCTGAGCAATAGAATATAATATAGGCTACAGTTTTTATTTGGGGTCAAAAAAAGTGGGTGGACAAATGATGTGATAACTTAAAAAAGTAATGGGGACATGTTCCCCCTCCCCCCACCCCCACCCCATCCCCCTCCCTCCCCCTGATTGATGCCCATGCTGTGGAATAAAGTAAGCATTTGTTCATAAAAACCAACATTTTGAAAGTATAAATAAAAACATAATGGAACAAAAACAGAAAGAATTGTAGCATTTCAGCATTTGTTTCTCAGACAAAACGATACAGAAACACGTACAATGTACATGTACACGTGTACATGTGTAACATAGTAAAAAAAAAAACCTTAAATGCAAATTGGTGAAATAAAAAGGGAAAGAATTAAAATAATGAAAGAATAATATTTGATCTTGTTCTCTGCTAAAAAGTGGCTTCCCTGTTTCCTTTTGCTCTTGAATTTTGTACATGTACATGATGACGCAAGTTCATGTTGTGGTCTCACGCAGTTCATGCCACTAATATTATGTAAAATAATACCCATGACACTAATGGCACACTAGTGTTTATAATATGGTTTTGCTTCCTTCGTAATGTTTGTTATATGTGCAATGTACATTTTGGGCTGTGGGTTTAGGTTTATCTGTGAAGTTTTATGTTGCTTATTTTTGGTGAGCCTTCCAAACATTTGCACTTTTATACGGCAGACTAGCGGCACCCGCTAGCTCGGTAGAATCATATACTAATGTTTACTTTGACCTCGATTTGCATGTTGACCCCAAGTGGCCTTGGTACTGCCTTGGTGAAGCAATTTTGCCACATTTTTTATCATCAACGTTATGTTTTGCGTAATAGCGATACGTTTTGGAGTGTTTTTGTAGCGATACAATTTTACTATTCAAAGTCTGAAAGAAACACATTTGCCCAAAAATAAAAAAAAATCCAACGAAATCAACCGTGACTTCAGAGGAAAGTGAAATCAGGGCATAAATATTATCCATTTAAGGACCTGCATACAATAACCAAGCCTCTCCATTAGTCATTGCATTTTGTGCTTGCGCAGGCCTTTTACAAAAAACGTGACACACAGACTGACAGACAGACAGGCATCAGACAGCATCTTTCAGTATAGGATGTATGTGGTATTTATGCCTGTAGTTCCCGTTGAGTTTGTTGATTGTACAAGGAACATGGTATTCCTTGCTGCATCATGACCACACCGGAATTTTAGAACAGATCGTCACAAAATGTTGAGAAACATTTAACAAAATAAACCTACAAAAAAATTTTTAAAAATGGTCAACGAAAATGTTACTGGCAATCAGTGGAAAGCTGTCTTTTTTTTATTCCAGTGAAGTTCACAATTATTATGAACACCTGTAAAATTCTTGTCCAGAATCTTAAAACCACCCTCGCTTGAAATTGTGTGTGTGTGTTGCAGTGGACTTTTGACATGATTTGCAGGCCTGTGTTGTTAAATAGAAGGTCATTGAACCTCAACCACATCACTGCTTTTAATGATGCTCTCCCGTGCCATTTTCGAGTTGCCACCTGAAAACATAGATTTGTTTTGAAATTGCTATTTCTCTAGCAATACTAAAGTTAATCACATTTGAATGAAACATTGGGCAAAAAAATCCACCCATGTTTAGTTATTAAATAATTATTTTACAAACTATTAATTATTTGCAGTCGAAACTCAGGCGTATCTATTTGTGCATTACGGGCACAAAAGCAGCACACTACATGTATAAATGCATATTTTCAGAGGGTCAATAACGTCCAAAGTAGGAGAGAGACGAGAATAGAAGAGCACAGGTAGAGTAAGCTTAAAGCAAAAACCACAAACAATGTCTATTTGTTGCTATTCTTGATACCAAAATGCGAGGCATTCTGGCAAAATGAAATGGCACTGGGCACAGGCTGTAGTGGAGAAAAATGCACTAAAACCGAATGGGGGTGATTTTTATGCCCCGCGGCGAAGCCGAAGGGGCATACTGTTTCCGCCTTGTCCTTCCGTGGGTGGGTGGGTGCGTGGGTGGGTGTGTGTGTCCGGATAAATCTTGTCAGCGCGATAACTTGAGAAATACTTAACATATGAACTTCAAATTTGGTTTGTGTATTGTTCTTGGTAATCCTAAGAAGCCTATTGCATTTGGGGTCGAAAGGTCAAGGGTCAAGGTCACAGTGGCTAAAACAATAGAAATCTTGTATTTTTCTGAGATCATAGGGATTAATTCATATAAAACCTACAGAAGACACTAATGCTGTCAATGAACGTTCCATGTGACCAAGGTACATGTACATGTAAGTTGATGTTAAACGAGTGGTGTTATGTCATGGGAACAGTCACGGTTGCGGGGCATTTGTGTTTGTAAACACACCTGACTTGGTTTTTTTCAGATTTATTGATATCTGTTACCCTATACTACACATATGTTTAAAAGAAATTGTATAAGAATCAGGGAATAAAAGTGTTTTTAGGGACAAACATTTGGCATCTTTCATTTTCATGACTACAAAACAGTCAATGAATGCAAACTTAAAACAGGCAAATTGTCATCAGAGTGTCCGATCGAAGTGCATCAAACAGTATTGTATTTGTAAGGAGAATTGTATTCTCTCACCTAAGGCCAAAAAAAATAATAGTTCTGCTTCCGGTTTCCCTACCTACCCAATGCTGACAGCCCCTACCCTAATTTTTTTATTGGAA